GTGACACGGGAGGGTGACGGCAGTGCGGCTGTGACACGGGAGGGTGATGGCTATGCCTGACTTTGTATTGTTTGCTGTGTGCTATTTTTGCTTTATTCATATCACATTTCTGGGTATATGATGTGTTTTTTTTCTTTCTAATCTCTTTTGAGTCTTACAATGTTCTGTACAGTATGGTAGCTCAACAACAGACTCATGTACAGAAAATGTCAGTATTCTGTAGGGAAATTTCAGTTCTGATGACAAAACTACAGGAAACAAAGTTACAAGTTTCTGCAAATCTAAATAGATCACCTTTCTCTTGTTTAGAGTCTATAGTGTGCCTGAAGTAACGTTAACACAGTCATTTATCTGTCCTTCCAGAAGTCTAATAAATAACTCTGTGTTCTATTAATTCTCTTCCAGAGTTACAAATTCTGCCAAGGAAAACTACAGCTGATTTTAGATCAGTTGGATCCTGGGCAACCGAAAGAGGTAAGCTTAAAGGAGAGCTGCTGTGTCAGGAAGGTACCAGGCACTGGTCTTTCTGCAGTCAGCAGTAGCCGGCTGTTCTGGTTGTTGTGATAGTGATGGTGTTTTTGTTTGTTTTTCTTGTTTGTTTTGTTTTTTAGGTGCTAGACCTTTATTATTATAAGCAATCTTGATTAGCTTTTCTGTCTGAACTGGACACTCACTTTGTGTTCACTCACTCCCTTCATCCCTTCTTTCTCTCTTTTCCTGTGTGTTCTGTGTGCATGTGGGATTTGTGTGTGTGTGTGTGTGTACGCGCACATGTGTGCGTGCATGTGTGTGTGTGTGTGAAATCCCTAGGTCAACATCACTTGTCATCCTTTCTTGCTTATCACCTTACTTATCTATTTATTTATTTTTGAGATGGTCTTTTTCTGAACCTGGTGCTCCTTGACTGTCTGAACTGACTGTCTGTGAACTTCTGGTTTCCTCCATTGCTGCCCTTCTACCCCCAGTGTTAGAATTTCAGGCATGCACAACTGTGCCTGGGCTTTTATGTGGATCCAGGAGACTCCGCACCATTTTCCCCAGCTTCAGTTTGAAAGGGATAAAGCTGTGTGTGGTTGTTATCCCTTTTTAGTATTTTATCATTAAGAAACCTAGTGCTTACTTCATTTTAGAAAATGTGACCATCTATTTAAAGATTGTTTTTCAATAGATAACGTGGTATACTATCATGTAGAATGCCTTGAAATAAGTACATACTGGATAGTAACTAAGTTAAGATAGTAAGCATATATATTACCAACCATACTTAGCCTTTTTAAAATCTTTGATTGAGTAGCTTACATTGTTTCCTGACAAGTTTTTAGGATTAGAATATTGTATACATATGCATTGGGTTGTACAATAGATCTTATTCACTGCAACCGATATTTTGTAGTTGACAAACATCTCACTAGTTTTTATGCATGAAACTTTAGCAGTTTATTAGAAAAAAAAGAGTTTGGGGAGGTGATGTAGGAGGGTCTTCTATCTATCTGTTGCTTTCATTGGTTAATTAATAAAGAAAACTGCTTGGCCTGATAGGTCAGAACATAGGTAGGCAGAGTAAACTGAACAGAATGCTGGGAGAAGGAAAGCAGAGGCAGGCAGATGCCATGATTCTCCTTCCTGAGATGGATGCTGGCTAGACTCATGCCGGTAAGCCATGACCTTGTGGTGGCATACAGATTATTAGAAATGGGTTAGTCAAGATGTGAGAGTTAGCCAACAAGAGGCTACAGATAACAGGCCAGGCAGTGTTTAAATGAATACAGTTTCCATGTAATTATTTCAGGTAAAGCTAGCCAGGCAGCCAGGAGCCGGTTGGGATGAAAAGCAGCCCACTGCTCCTTTACAGGGAGGATCAGCAAGTGAAGTGCTTGTCAAGACCCCTGATGATCTGAGTTCAGTCCCTGGACCCTCATGGTAGAAGGCGAAAGCTGAGTCCTGTAAGTCTTCTGACTTTTGTGCACAACCCCACACCCATACACATCCACTCTCCTACGTTAAATAAGCAAGCAAGCAAACAATGGAAAAACATTTAAAAAGAAGAAAATTTTGAGGAAGCAATTATATTAAATTTTATCTGTTCATATTTTGAAAGGTTTTAGAGACTACTATTTATTGATGTCTTGTTTTATTAGAAAGTCAGTTTGAATTAGAAACTATATCAAATTTTAAATGTAATAACATAGTAAACATTTACTTCTAAGTGTTCCTAATCATATATTTTACATATTTTATGGAAAATAAGCTTGTAATAAACTAAGTGTACTTAGTTTATTAAAGGGAATTTAATACGGCTTCATTTTTAAAACTATGCTTAGTGAAGGAAAGAAAGAGGTTTGCATGCACTATTTCCTGGGACTAGCACCATGTGAAATCCTGTGAGGGAGTTTGATTTTTATGTTGCTGATTGGGAAAAACAAATTTTATCAAAGCAAGTGAATAAAAGGTGAACTGAGCTTTGAAAAATACAGCAGTGTGCAAAAAGAGATGAAAAAAGAAATTAACCCAAGAAGAAAAATTCATGGGCTGTAACTCATATGAAAATATTTGTTTGTAAGGCCCTAAAAGCACACAGCAGGAATGGAAGACAAGTGCAGCTACTTCTCTATTGCTGTGACGAAACAACCATGGCAGCTTATAAAAGGAAGCATTTGATTTGGCTCACGGTTTCAGTTCATAATGATGGAGTGAAGGAACAGCTGAGTTTTCACATCACAAAGAGGAGAGAGAGAGGGAGAGGGAGAGGGAGAGGGAAAGAGAGAGAGAGAGAGAGAGAGAGAGAGAGAGAGAGAGAGAGAGAGAGAGAGA